ACCACCCCCTCTGACCGGCACCATGCCCCCCCGTCCTCCTAAACCGCTGTTCCGTTCATCCACTCCCGATGTGCACCAAACAGCCACATCGTTATTGATATGGATTTTCAGGCTGCGTCATCTGCACAGCCTGAAAGAATCAAACCTAAAATCTGATTTGACGATTTTCGATGACGGTCTACGACGATTGTGGACGGCCAAACGAAGCCTCAATTAATCCCAGTGGATCCAATGAAGCCAGATCCCTTGACATTGGAAAACTGCCTACCTCATGATCACCGGCCATGAGCTCCATGGCGAGACATGGCGATCACATGTCTCGACACCCGTCCCACCTACCTTCAAGATAATCCATTTATTTGTGATATCTCCAGATCCCAAGAGAGCTAGACACCCTTTCATTTTTCTCAATTCCGCGAGTTTTGAATGATGAACAACCCTGGTGGGCGTACCTTGCCATGAACAGGGGCTGCGGCCTCAAACCTAAGGCCTCGTTTGGCCGTCCATGATCGTCATAAACGATCATGGCGAATATTTCGGGGGCGCACAGCTGAAGACGGGGCCTCACGATGGTGTTTGGGAGGCCACGTCATATCCACTTTCTTTATGACGGAAGTGGTCAGCGAGATATATTCCCTGCCAGTTCCAATATTTTGGTTCCACCCAAAATTTCGCGTCATAAGTCCTCACAGCAAGGTTGAGAAGGATTTTCAGACCTGCGTCATTTGCACAGCCTGGAATCATCAAACCTAGATTTTGATTTAACGATTGGAGACAACAATTTATAACGATTGTGGACGGCCAAACAAGGCCTAATTGATTTAAGGAGTTTTTAGATTGAACAGGATATGCTAATGATCAAAGCTGCCTGAAGTAGCCAAAATCACCAAATGTGGATGGATGTTGCCAAAATTTGAGCTTGAACACCTGCTTTTCCTAGCTTGCTGGGGGGGTCCCATAACCTATCAATATTGAAAATAGAATGTCTTAACTGGATTCAAAATTAACATCAAGATCACAAAAGTGCAAGTGAACATTATCTAGACACAAAAATTCTTTGTAGGTGAAGATCCAAATTGGAGGTAGCTTGCACATAGCTTGCTCAAACTCAAACTCACTCTTCTTCATTTTTCTTTTTCTATAAAATAGGGTGAACAATGCATAAAAAAATTCCAATAATATGAACATAAGAAGACAACAATGACAGTCTTCTCTAGAATGTCCTCTATGTAAACTAACATACATACAGCTGTGATATCAATTCAGATGAGTTGAATCAAATG